TTCCCCCCACTAGCAACAGAAAACTTTTATTTGCTGAACTGCCAAGAGACCCGTTGCACCCTAGTTAGCACAGCTCAGGCCAGGATGATGCCATAGACTCAACACCTCTAATCAGAACATCTAGTGTAAATTTTTTGTTAAAATGGAGAAACATTTAATTGAAATAATAAAGTAAAATAAAAAAAAACTATAAAATTAATTAAAATAAAATAAGTAAAAATTAAATAACTGATAATAAATTAAAATATAAATAATACGGAAAATAATATAAAACAAAATAAAACGAGACAATATAAAAAAAATTTAAAAATTAATTAAAATAATATTTTACACACACTGCAGAAAGGTAATCAACAATAAAATAGTCATTACCGTGCATAAAGTTAGTTTCCTATATGTACATACTATAAAATGGCTATTTTTCCATTTTAGTCCAAAAGTAGGTCAGTCTAATATCTTTTTGTGTATTAACGAGTATCTTTACCACGCCCCTTTTAACGTTTACAAACAAAAATTTCATAAAAAAAACAATGTTTCCAATGTGCAATAACACACAATGTGTTTGTTAAAAATTACCTAATGAACCAACTAATAAACTTAAATGACTCTTAAGCTTTATTTCTGCTTATTTGTGCCCATTTTCAACACGGTCAATTTACTAAGCCACATACATACATGCATACATACAAAAGTACGTCTGTTTTTACTTATTTTTATTTAAAATACATTATTATAATAAACGTCAGCAGATATGGTTATCGCCAGGGAAATGCACACATTTACAACAACACGCAGATTTTATAGAAATGGGATTTTTATGCAGTTACGAGCGCTTACATACTAGAATGCCAATGAGTCACCTAACATTATGGGTGAACATATTTTTTTCTAATAATTTTATTTGTTTGTATGTGATATGTTTGGTGTTACAGTGCCTGCCACTTAAATAAGAGCCCCCTCTGATCCTTTGTACATATGTATTGGCAGATTTCCTGTCCTTTAATTATTATTCATTAATTTTTTATAAAAATATAGTATATTCTATAAAAAAAAATATGCAAATACGCTTTTCAAATTTAGTTCAACAGATTTTCCCCAAAATTTCAAACTTAAAGAAAAAGTTTGAACTTTTTTAGTGTGGAGTTTTTAAGCCCATTCAATTTTAGTAACAAGGTGCAAGTTTCAAATTTTCAAAAAACCGCGTTGTTTTTAAACAATTTTTTTTTTTGTCTAGGCGGTTGCGCGTTTTCTTCGATATGAAAAATAGGAGAACATATTTTGTATGGTTTTGTTATAGCACTGTATCATTACAAAAAAAAATAATGAATATTAAACAGACAAAAGGAAAAATGTAAATACCGAGGACAAAAAGGGGGCGCTATTCAAATGACCGGCACTGTATTTACATATTTATACAAATATGTGGAACTCAAAATTACTAAAAAAAACTATTTTTAAATATAAAAGTTATAAAGTACTATGTGTGTTAATCTTTTAATAACAAAAATCATTTTTAAGATTTAGGTCCCAGAACGGTATAGTAAAAAATTGTCGTCCAGTCTTTTCGAAAGCCTCGTGAAACTTTACTTTCACTTTAAGAAAACTTTGCGCTGGATTTTGAAATTTTGAATGCAAAATATTTTGAGAAAGCAAATTAGGTAATATTCTCTCTTAATTTCTTAGGAGTAAATGCAGAAAACTTTTTAACAGACTTTCGGATATTTTTTACCATTACTTTGGGATTTCTTTTAATCTATTTCGCATTTCTTGCGGGTTTCGAGATTTTTTTTATATTCTTTCAGATCTCAGGATAATTTTTACTTTAAGGAATAAAGCACAAAACTCGCTTAAACTTTTTCTAACAGGGTTGAAATTTTTTTCAAGATTTCTCATCATTTCCTGAAATTTTTTGGTGGATTTAGGGATACTTTCGGCTTTTTTCGCGATTTTGACTATAAAATATTTTAAAAATGTTTTGAAAAAAGCTCGGTAATTTTTTATTTTTTTATCCAGCAGACTATACAGAGTTTTTTCGATATTTTTTCAGGATTTTCTTGGGAATTTTTTCAAACGGTATGTGTTTTTCTTATTATCCCGAAATTTTTAATGCAGCAGACTATACAGAGTTTTTTCGATATTTTTTCAGGATTTTCTTGGGAATTTTTTCAAACGGTATGTGTTTTTCTTATTATCCCGAAATTTTTAATATTTCCTTAGGATTCTAGGGAATCACTCGAGGTTTTTCGAGTTTTTGTTGTTTAATTTTTAATTTTGACTTTGTTTTAAATTAAGAAATAAAAGACAGAATTCGCTTAACCCGTATCGAACAGGCTTGATATTTTTTGCGGGGTTTTTCTCGATTTTTCTGAGATCTTTTGGCAGTTTTAGGTCTGATCCTGAGAGTTTTCGAGATTATTTTAGGTGTTTAACCTTCAAACCTTTTAAAGATATTTAAACAAAATGTGGGTCGTTATTTTTATATCAGTATTCCAAAGGAAGAAAGAAAATATAAAATTCCCATAATTTTTTAAAGCAGACTTTTCGGATTTTTTTCGGAATTCTTCCAGAATTTTCTTGGGTGTTTTTTCAGACTGTTTGTAATTTTTTTCGGGGGGAATATATAAGAGACATGGTTTGCTTAATATTTTTCCAGCAAACTTTCGGACTTCTTTGTAAAATTTTCGGGGCTTTGATATTTAGATTTTTTTTAGAACATATATCGTATTTAGAATTATATTATATATTTTTCTAAAAAACGCTAGCTTTTGCTTTTTATTTCAAAGGAAAAAAATAAAATTCCTGGTAAATTTTTCGATTTTTCTTGCGGGAGTTTTCCGATTTTCGATTTCTTTGGAAACTGTTTGTGATTATTTTTGTTTTTTTTATTATTTTCTGTGGCCTTTCGAGAATTTTCCGAAACCATTTTTGCGATAGTTTAGAATTTTGACTTTTAAATGTTTTTAATAATAATAATAATAATAATAGATTGGCGCTTACACATATGTTAGTGTTTGGCCGAGCTTCTCCTCCGATTTGAGGCGTGCGCCTTGATGTTGTCACACAAAGCGGAGGGACCTACAGTTTTACGCCGACTCCGAACGGCGGTTGTATTTTTATGAGAAGCTGTTTTTCATGGCAGAAATACACTCGGAGGTTTGCCATTGCCTGCCGAGGGACGACCGCTGTTAAGAAAAAACCTTTTTTCTATATTTTTTGCAATGTTGCTTTGACCGGGGCTTGAACCCAGGCCCTGCGGAGTGGAAGCGCGCACTGCTTACCACTACACCACAGCGGCCGAAATGTTTTTAATAGTTTTAGAAAAAAAATGCAATTTCTACGCTTTATTTTTGGGACGAAATAGAAAAAAATTCGTCTAATATTTTTCGATTAATCTTTGTCTTTTAGTTTTATCGTATTTCTTTGTAATTTTTTGGGACCGCTCGAGAGTTATTGGGGTTTTTGGAATTTTCCCGGGATTTTTCAATAATTTGTGAGGATTTTTGTAAATTTTCTGGATTCAATTGCACCATTCGGGGTTCAACAAAATACAGTATGACCTCGCTCAAAGCAAACCTCGATTATTACAACACAGAAATACATTACATTGTTGACTCAGTAAACGAAACTTAACAAAAAAAAAAAAGATACTCTATTATCTCAGAAAATTTTTCAAGACCGCCCTATTTCAGAATTTGTATGAAGAACGCCCTTTCTAGGGATTTGATTGAAGAACGCCCTATCTCAGCCGCCGCGTGAGTTTTAGGGATGTCCATGGACTTCTCGATTGGATTTCAGGATTTTTGTGAATTCGAGGTAATTCTTTATTGCGGCTCCCAAATATTTTAAATTAAAAAATATCGGCCATTTTTGCTTGTATTTTTTAAGTATTCAAAGAATGAATGTGCCATATCTTATTCGAGCAGATTTTTCGGAATTTTTATTTACGAAATTTTTCTAGATTTTCTTATCCATTTTTGAATGTTTGAAATTTCTTTTTGGAATCTTCAAGATTATTTTCGAGCTTTTATGACACTGTTTGGGTTTTGTCAGATTTTTCAGGATTATTCGGAAATTTTTAGGATTTTTTCGGGTGTGTTCAGCATTTTCTGGTTTATTTCAAGTTTTTTTCGTGAACTTTCGGGACTTACTCGAGAATATTTTGGGAATTTTCAGGTTCAGGAATATTTATGTAAATCTTAAATTTTCTTTCAATGAATGCCAAAAAATTAAATTCAAATAAAAAAACAAAAATTTTCACTCAAATGTCACTTAAATTGATTTGATTGATTGACGTTACAGCATCGTTATTAAAATGAAAAAAGTCGTGACTAATATTTTATTATTTTTTTTTTATAAAATGATGTGGGGAGTTGTAATTCTGTGAAATCCATCATAAAAATCAAAAAGTGATTTCTGAATTTTTTATTAGTTATGACTTTTTGCGTTTCAACGATGATGTTTGTTCCGTTTTTTGCATTTCAGGTGACGATATGTATGTTCTTAACCCTTGTAGCAATTTTCTATACATATTTTTTTACGTTGCCTTTTAACTGCTTCATTAAACAGTTGTCTGCCCAAATACAAATATTTAATATGTTTTAACACCGGAAACAGCAGCGCTTACAACACCAACCACGGGGACTGTTTAGTTTTTTGTTTCTACTGCTTTGCATGCCATACTCGTAAAAATTGGCGAAAGCAGTAACAAGACACATTCTAAATTGACATCGAAAGAAAGTAACGGTCTACACAGTTATTAAGTTATGAATTACGCTTGAGTCGGGCTTAGAAAATAATTCTTAAAATTTTTTTATGTGACAATCACCACCACCCACATACGCCCCTACATACTCTGGCTTCTTTGGCTTATCGCGTGCTGTGCTTTAAGCCGCTGTATAATATGTATGTGTGCATATAATCTGGAATATGTATGAATGTATGCATGTATTTGTGTGCACCATGTGGGCAGCTAGTTTGTTTGTATGCAAATTTCTGTTTACCTAATTTCAACTCCAATTCGAATGACTCTGCTTAGGGGCCTTTGGTTGGATCGACGGCTCCCCTGTTGCCTTTGCCGCTTGACTGTGGAAGTTGGCCGTGGAAGTAGTAATAGTTTTTGTTGTTGTTATCACTTTTGTATTTTTCGTTTATTCGTATTGTTATTGCTGACTGGGCACAAGTGCTGACTGTGACGACGGACTTGCAACTGAGGTCGCACGCCTCGGTATGCGGGTGCAGGGAGCGGTCGATATGTTTGAATCCAAAGAAAAAAACAATTGTAACCGTCGATTTGTTCGATTCTTACTTTTTCAGTGTAGATATTTCTGTTGCTTGTTCGCATTAATGAGCCAACAATAATTTTTGTATATTTTTTTTATCGCTTAGCTGTTGATTTCTTTAGCACTGCTTCAAACGAAAAATTCCGAAAATGCAAACAAACAACTTTTAATTAAAACTGATTTTTTGTTGAATTGCTGAGTCGCGCGCGCTGTCGTTGCCAATTAAAGTTTCGTAAGAAATAAGAACAACAAAACACGCACAATAATAAATATTTACATATATATATTTTTTTTCTTAACGAAACTAGGCCTGCAACGCGCTTTTATCCCAATTTCGCGCCAGAACCTTCGCATACAATTCAATTTAATTCGAAATTGAAATTATTTTACACACAGGCATAGTAGTGTCAGAAACACACCTGTACATATGTATGTATAGGTAACAATGTATGCACGTTTGTTCCGTAGTAGCCCCGTATCACTTTCTCGTTCGTCGATCACACAAAACTCTCCTTTTAATTCCTGTTTGTCGACTTGACTCTTTAGTGCGATCACTTGCGTCTTCTTGAAATAAAGCGTTACTTTTTTTTTGCCACCAGTTTGCACTTTTGAATACTTTTTTTCTTAAACTACTTTTCTGTAGCTCCACTGGCACTGCTTTGGGGAACGAACCAACGTTTGTCTGCTGTGAAAGATGAATTGTGACTGACGGCTTGGTTGGCTGGTGGCCGTTTGGCTTGTTGGTGCGCCTCGCTGCCAACTTCTTGCCTTGCCTTGCAGAAACACATGTGCTTTGCAGTGGTGTGTGGCGTGGAGTGCGCGCGCGTATCTTCTTCCCCGTCAGCTTTCGGTGGTTTTTATTTATTGTTATCTACAAGTTTGTACAAGTATATACCTATATATATTTGCATATGTGTATGCATTTGTTGTTATTTATTGTTGATTATTGGACGTTAACTTTTGCGGATTTTTGTATTGGTGTTTGTTTTTCGGCAGTTGTTCGATAGCTTTTGTGGTGATTGAGTCGGTAAGGCAGTGCGAATGAGCGACTTGTTGCTCTTCCACTGACTCTGGGGTGAGCTGAGACGTTGCCCGTTAACAACCCTTAAGCATGAACTAATGAATGTGTCCTTAAATCTTGGATTACTCTCCAAGATCATTTACTTACCTTTGAGACATTTCAGAGAGGGTGGCTAAGTATTATGCGGAGCAAAAAAGCAAAAGACAGCTGGCCGTTTTTTTGAAGTGACGCTTTAATGCATATAACACGGTGTCGGTAACGCCGATAACGATGTCCAACCGGAGGTTAGTGTCCTAGAAGATAATTCAGGTAGGCCTTCTTAAGTGAATCCTTCAGTTAAGCACGTTAACTGCTTTATCGATCACATGTTATATGATGGGTGTCGATAACGTCGATAAAGATGTTTAACTGGGAGTTAGAATTAACTAGACATGGTGCAAACGGCCCTAAGAGGCCTACCCAAGAAGGACCGAAAAAAGTGCTTCCTTGCATGCCTTCTAGAAGGGCTTATCCATTTACAATATACGCGAATGCATAAATTTATATTCGGGATCTTCATAAAAATGACAAACTGTTGATAAACTTGATAAAATGATAAATTTATCATTTTGATAAATAAACTGTCAAACTTTGTACGGAAATCTATTTAACCAAAGTTTATCACTATCCAACGAATTTGGTGGATAAACGAATATATTTCAGCAAAATTCAAACTGACAGACTACCAGATGTTCGAGCACAATGGACGAGGTAAGAATGAAATGTAACTAGCCAGATAAATTAAATAATAATCAATATTGTGCAATTATTTACCAACGTGCGTTCATGAAAGAATGTGGATAAACTGATGCATTTAAGAAATTTATCCCTTTATCACTTTCGATAAAGACCCCTATTATTTAGCATTACAAATGAAATTCAGTAAACATTCCAAGTTTGTAATAACACATATTTGATATAAACCTGAAGCAAATACTTCAAAGATGTATTATTTTTTAAATTAAAGAAGCAACTTTAAAAGAACTCCTCCAAAAGACCTTCTGAAGTACGTCCTATAAAGACGTGGGTTGCGAAATTTGTGCCACTCCATAGAAAAAGAAAGGAGAAAGGAGTGTAGAGTGCAAGGCCTTTCGACTCTCAGGAAGGCCTTTCGGAAGGGCTTTTAACCCCTAAAATTATCTACTGGGGTCAACCACCCGGCCCTAAGAAGTGAAAGCCATGTGAAAGTGGGTAACTTTAACGCGTGGCGCCATCATTGGCACTGAAGCTTGTCAAATATCCGCAGACAAATTTTATTAGCAGAAGTTCTGCAATATTCCATCCACGATTTTGCACCATGAACGGTGCAGCCACCATCAGGATTATGGGTGAGTAGTTGCTAGAGCGATTGACACGGTTTCTCCAAACCGTTTTCCCCCGTGTTTTTTTTATCTATAGGCGTTTTTTTCGAAATCTTGATTTTTGATTATCGAATAACCCGTTTTTTTTTATCGAATAAACAGGTTTTTTAAATTCATACACATCTGGTTTCTCCAAACCGTTTTCCCCCGTTTTTTTTTTATCTATAGGCGTTTCTTTTTGAAATCTTAATTTTTGATTATCGAATAACCCGTTTTTTTATTGAATAAACAGGTTTTTTAAATTCATACACATCTTGACCTCTCAATAAAAGTTTTGAGTTTTCCGAGGTTTCAAGGCTTTTTCCAGTCTAAGGGAAACCCTTAAATATTGGTTTTTAAATTATATTCTAGGTTATTTAGGGATTAAGAGTCTATCATATTTGATTCCAATAAATTAATGTTTGGCGCTTAAATGTTAAATGCTTTTTTAAAAAAGGTATAAGAACCAACGTGAATTTTTCCTGATTTTTATTTGTTTTACTTTTGATCCCGAGTACAGAATATCAATACTTTTCATGAGTACTGAGTAGTATCAAGAACTCGATACTTTTTCACAAGTACCGAGCTAGTACAGCGAATACCAAAAGGTATCGACGGATAAACAACTTTTTAATTTTTTTTAGTTACAGAAAAAATTCGTTCTTTGAATGACATTGAAAAATGTTTAGAAATTACCCAATAAACATTATGGCGAAAGAGCGAAATTTTTTCTTGGATATATGAATGTCGCAAAAATAAAGATAAAGCTCATTTAATACAATACTGTCATAACTTGGAAAACATTTCAACACTGGGCTCGGTTGAAAATTCTTAAATAATTGAAAAAACAAATTCTTGCCTCACCGTCGAATGGAGAAATAGGGTGGTCTTCGACTCGATAACTTGGCCATTCTCCAGTATAATGGAGCCTTCGTTTAATTAAAATCTAGCCCATTCTCGAAGAAAATTTTTATGGAAGAGAACTAATCTTTCCTTTAGAGAATGGGCTTCACCAAATTTGTTTCTCGTTTTCTACATTTGCATTTAATTTTCAAGGTAAAGTGCTTTATAAATATACGCGTCAAACAATTATAAAATATTAGCATTTAAAAACTTTAAATAAGCTTTTAGCTATAAATATTTATTTTGCGCTTGTAGAAATAAACTTAGTGCAAGTTTATTTCAAAAACTCTTTTAGAAATGCTTGTTAATCAGATTTCAACTATTAAAAGCAGTGCCTATTTAATTTACAAATAGAAAGAGGCCATAAAAGCAAAGCATACTATTTTTATTAACCTTTCTCGTTCGCTTAAAAAATATCTGGAAGTACGAGTATTATCGAAATCTGAGCTAATAGTACCTGGTAGGCTGCTACGAGCGCGAGCACCCGAACAAACACTTCTTACAACCAGAACATACTGCCCCCAACTTCAACTAAAACCTCTCTCCTTTTGGCCTGACCGCGTCGAAACAGCAGGTTTCTTTCGCTACCCTCTAGTTAAGCTTGATGTCAACGATTGAAAATTAGCTCTACGTCAACATTCTTGCCATACCGATCTCTATACAAATCAAAATTTTTCCGACTGGGTAATAACAAGTGATGCCAAGTTCAATCTCCAATGTATTATTGAATCATGGTCTGGCAGCATCATTTCTGCATATGTCATTTAATTCTGTGCAAGTGGATTTATTTTCATAGCTATCGTACAATCATCTGCAAGGCACCAAGATTTCTAAAAAAATAACTTGGTTTCATCTGTAAACTCATCAATATTGTGCTTAAATCGATAACTGCGCAAGTTGTAAGTATAATGGCAAATTAAAAAGTATAACGCTTTGTTTTTCATATTTACGCAGTGACGAATCAAGTGTGATAAGTGGTTGCTACTTCATCAATTGCGGAAGTAAGCCAAGGGGAGTTGGGTGGAATAAACTTAATGCTTTAGGCATGCGATACATCATATATGAGTATAGCATATTTTGTGATTTTCATTGGAATACAGTTCAATGAATTTCATGGTCTGTTTATTTAGTACGAATTAAAAAGACTTGAAATTTCGGAAGTACTGCTGCTGATATGAAAATATTTGTTTAAAGACGTGATAACTTTTTACATATCTGTGTTCGTATGGAATAGTA